ATAAAACAGAAATGTTAATTAATCATCATAAATGTTTTGCAGTGATTTCTCTTAGAGTCTATCAGAAGAAAGCTAAAAAAAGGTTATCATCCTGTTGTGAACAGCCATAGAATTTTAACCTTGGGCCGTCGCCCTGGCAAATGTTTGATCTTTCTTTCTCTGACTCATCTCTAATCCTGAGGATGGAACCAAAGTTCGTCTGTTTCTTTTACTAACCCAGACGGCTTTGAGCGACACACTCTTCTTCCTGACTCCATCCGAGGAAGACAGCTGGGATTCTCTCCGGAGGACTCAGTTCGGCTTTTAGGTCTGAGCCCGTGAGCCAACTAGGGAAGACTTAACAGCCAGGGACCCGGCACGCCAGCTGGTGCTCCCACCCTGAGGCTTCAAGCCTCTAAAGTGTGTTTTCACCTCCCGTGGGGAGATTTTATTTTGAAAAGAAGGGACCGGATAACAGCTTGAATTTTTCTGGCTTGGACTGAAACAMACGAAAGTTACCTGGAAAAACACCTACTCGCCAATGACCGGTAAGCGAGCCGACATTCAGTTCCCTGACTGATCGGAGGCGAGCCAGCTCCTACCCCGAGGGTGCCTTAAGAAGACATCACCAGGTAAAGCTGATGTGTTCGGAGTGACGTGTCATGTGGACCCTGAGCGCAGAAAAGACGTGCAGTTTCCGGTTGACCCACACTTTGATAAAGTAAAAGTAGTAGTAAAATYCTAATCTTACTTTCCTCCTTTCCTTGTTCTTTATTTGCCAAAACTTGAGCTGAAAGTGCCAGTAAAATTGTTTGGTTGTTAACATCAGAACTGACGTTTTACTGTTCTATATAAGTAATCTGAGTTGATGAGAATTGAAATTCGGACGCGGGTTTTATCTCATTTAACTTTGACACCTTTTATAGGAATACCCACAATCAAGTGTACTTATGATTTGTTCAATTTGTGTAAAGAAATTATTGCATAGTCTTTTATGAATCAACTTGAACTCATCTGAATGTTCACTTATTGTGTCACTTTTTACTTCGCACAGTCAAGATATTAAGTAATGAGAAATACCTTGGTAAAAGTTTCCTCATAACCTTGTGTATGAGAGATGTGGGAGAAGCTTAATACCACCTTAAGCTCACCCTCCTACAATGGCAAAAAGTCCAACATTGTTGTAGTAAAAGTTATCAAATCCAGAAGGAAGTTTCTGTGACCAGCTGTTGGTCTTCTGCAGTCATTCCCAAATTTTTCAGCTTTTGACCCACAACAAAAAGCAGCAGAGGCCTGTGCCCTCAGCTGTCAGTTGATCAACGTTGTTTCCACATCACAAAACAAGAGCATAGTAAAATTATTTATTACATTATATTTGTCCATTTGAAGTACATTAATCTTATTATTTTGTAACAGCAAAGCAAAAAAAGTGTTAGTTGTCATTTTGTAATGTAATTAATTCAGAAAATATCTTCAGGACACCACTGTGGGTCCCAACTCCACCTTTGAGAACCACTGCTCTATGGGAACAAAGACAACCACATGATATAATAATTAGACTAAAGACAACAGCAGAGTGAGGAAATGTGCTCAGTTTGTGCTCCAGCAGTCTAAGTCTACAGCAGCAGAAGTGAAGAATAATTCAGGAAACCTAAGTCTAACTATAGGATTTATCAAAAAGGAAAGTCTTCAGTCTAATCMTAAAAGTAGACAGAGTGTCAGCCTCACGGACAGAAACTGGAAGTTGGTTCCACAAGAGAGGAGCTTGATAACTGAAAGCTCTGCCTCCCATTCTACTTTTAGAAACTCCAGGAACNGCTGCTGTCAGCAGACTTGTCCACGTTGTCCTTGACGTTCAGGGTGTGCCGTCTGTGACTCAGCCTGCCTGCTGGAAGGGTAGGAGGAGGGTTGCTGTGGAAGCAAGAAGGAAAACATTACAGCAAAGCAAGCAACATCTCAGGATGTCAGCTTCTTGTAACAGAGAAATATATGGAAGACCTGGGCTTGAGGGGAAGAGAGGGAGGAGTTTGTTGTTCCAAAGAAAGGCTGCGTATGTCCAGGCTGAACTTGCGAGGTTTGGGCTGAGGTACGGGGCTGGAAAAGTGCCCTTTTCTGCACCACAGAACGTAGCCATTGATGTCACTGAGGAGAATCCAAATCGAATTATTTTAARTATCATTAAAGAAATTAAGCAGTTACTTGAAAAAATATATTTAAAATATAAGTTTAAACACAGGTCTAAGATAAATAACTGTAAATATAAATGGTACTAAATACTAACCCCACATATGTGTAATGTTGCAGCATCATTTTGCTTTTGGCTGTCAGCTTGATGTCCAACACAGCTGTGTCCACACTGCTCACAGGGGAGAGGCGAACACACACACACGCTTTTTCTTCGAAACGGAGGTCTCTAGACACAAACACACACAGGTGCAGAAACTGTCCATCAATCAAACTGCAAAACAAATCAGTAAAAAAACAAACATGCCGATACAATGAGGAAAATCTGTGAACGTGTGCCAGTGCGCACTTGGTTCAAGGTGCTCTGGTATGCAAATGTAGCCATGAGGAAGAGCGTCTTTGTCTGAAATAATCTGAATGTCCACCACCARGTTGCCTTCTGCCAAGTCCTAAAGAAAAGAATACAGCTCATTTATGAAGCACAAGAGATCAAAATATATCAAGTATAGCAGTGATGCAAAGATTATTCAACTTATTATTGGTGTGTGTCTGTGTGTTACCTTGCTGTAGCAGAGGTAATATCCAGATTTAATTGCAAAGCTGCGTGTGAAGTTTGCTGCTGCACCGTCTTCTGTGATACTGATCTGCAGAGAGANCAGTCTGAGAGTGAAGTGCTCTGTTAGGAAAGTATGGAACAATAAGATGTTTAATATATGATGGAGCTTGGTTGTTAAGAGCTTTGTATGTTAGGAGTAAGGGATGTAACTGTAATGTGAAACATCAGCTGTAACACTGACATGTTCCTACAGATCCAACATCAGATCATTGGCTGAGGTTCTGATGGGCTTTGTTGGGCAGGAGTGACAGGTGAGGGGGCGTTGACCCACCCTCAGATTCATCCATCACTCTGCGTGGCACAGTGTCCGGCCCCCTCTGACTCCTGTGGACATGTATGTTTGTGTGGGCGGACCTCCAGTCCTCTCCTTATGGAAATGTGAAAGCAGAATGAAAATGTATTTGTTCTCAACGCTCACTTCATCTTTGTTTTATGCAAAATCTACGAGGACATGAGACAATGGTAAGAATTTTAATGAAGAAAAAAAAACTAATTACCTCTCAGCTCTATTCTGGATATGACTGAATCCCAGTGACAGAAGCTGTAACCGTTTCTTTGTAAATATTCATAGTCAGAAAGTAATTACAGAAAAACTGTTTAGGACTGAAAACTAAAATGTAGCCTGAAACCATGCAGTCACTTCTGTTCATTTTTCACATTACACTCTGAAAATATCTTCCATGTTTAGGCAGCCTGCAGGCATTTACTATAAAATCTGGAAAAAAATAAACCAGTCCTCTCTTTTTGAACTGTGTGCCTCTGGAACAGGTTTGAAAACAAACATCAGAACCACTGAGGTGACTACACACAGCATGCTTCTGTTATTTTCATCTTAATCATCCCCCACTGAATGACAAAATGCAGCTTGTTTTTGTTTGTCTGCAGTGTTAAAAGCATTAATCAGATTTCAAATTCATTTATTGTCATTCACACACAACATCAAGATGCAATGCAGAACGAAATCTGCAGTTTAGAACATCTATCCGGAGAAACACACACATGACAAACATGGGGGAACGAAGGTCCATGATCATTTGCACTAAGGTGCGCTACCTTGTGCAGACTAAAATACACACACAATAGGAAAGGCGAGTTAAAAAAAAGAGCTCTGATCCTGTGTTTTATACAGAAACACACAAACATGCGCCCAAAAAAACTACTCTGCGTACAGTGCAAGGCAGCTAAGGAGGGGAGGGGGGTGGGGGTTCAGCGGAGCCGGTGACATCCAGGATAGTACTCCATGTTGGAACCAATCAGAGACCTCCAGAGTCCAAACAAGTTATCAGTCAAAGCAAAAGTCACTAGAGTTCAGTTTGTATCCACCCAACGTGGCCTTCAGACAGATCCGATCATGGGTGAAGCGGGTAAGGGTTGGGGGGGAGTCAAGGCTTTTTCCTCACGTGTCATCCAGGGAGGTTTTTCTAGCTTGCAACCAAGGTCACAGCTGCAGGGATCCAATGATAAACATAATTGTTATTTAGGGCCAAGCAGGCAGATTTCTCTGCTTTGAGTCTTAACCACGCCTCTGTGTTGTGAAAATGCCAACATTCCAAATTCAGTTCCCTCCTCGCCTCTCACCAGTTGTGATCTCGCTCCTCACGGGCACGCTGCTGAACTGTGATCCTTGTCAGAATCACGTCCAGTTTGCGACTTATATCCCCCCAGCATCTGAGTCTGTGCATTTCCAATACACGAGAGAACGAGAGTTTGTGCTTTAAATGGGKGCCTAAATCCCAAAAGCTCCTTTGTTCAGCTCATCAAAGACTTCCTGAGCCAGACCTTCTGTTTTATTTCACATTTCTTCATTTTATAAATCGTTATTAAGAATGCCATTATGCATTATTGTGTGAATGTTTCACATAGGCCAGTCACGATAACAAATTTTGCTGGGCGATTAATTGTCTCACAAATTATTGCGATAAGCGATAATATTGCCTGGTGACCATTTTACAACTAATAATT